CTTAAGGCTTTGAAATACTTAATGCCTCTTTATGCGTGTTTTCTTAACAGCCCAGTGCTGCATCCATGCCCATCAAGCAAAACGAAAATAAATACCCCCGCTTGCTACGTGTCCCAGAAATGCTGCCGAGGCAGCAGTGTGAGAACTGCCAAACATGACACAAATAGCTAAGAGACAACAGGATCCGATTCCCACGCAAGGGTAACGGATGTATTTCTCAGTGAACAGCTGGATCCTAGATCTTTCTGAAAAAAATTCCATGCAGCAATCAGTCCTGGAGCCTGAAGCAACTGACTGTAGCATCAAAGATATGAGAGTCTGGGGCATGGAGAAAAGGGAAGAAGAAGGTGAAGGAATTCTCTCCAAGTGAGTCTTCCAGTGTGGGGGTAGGCAGATTTGTCATAGCGTTTAAGGTCAGAAGGGATCATTAGATCACCTAGTCTGACCTTCCCTATATCACAGGTCACCAACCCCAGTCAGCACTGGGCACGCTAAACCCAACGTGTGTTAGCTGGGCTCGCACTAGCATGGTAAAAATAGCGGTGTCAACAACATTGTGGCACTGGTGGAGGCTCAGCCCCACCCTACCCCCTTTGTCCAAACTCAATGGCTAGCCCAAGCCTCAACTTGTGCTGTAGCTATTTTTAGTGCACAAGTGTGAGCCCCGTTAGCTGTCTACCTGGGCTGGGAGGCTCGCTCCCAGCTGCAGTGTAGACATACTCTAAGACTTTTGTGGGCCAGATCTGCAGCTGGGGTAAGCCAGTATAACTCCACTGAAGTCAGTAGCCAAACTCAAGAAATCAGAAGTCAGCGGTGCTACAAGAGTTCATCCCAGTTGAGGATCTGGCCCTGTAACTTTGTCTATACGTACACCGCAGGCTTCACCTTTCCATCAACCTCTTACAAGCCCACAGCCAGCAGAGCAGCATACTCGGCGGCCCAAGGTCTCATGCAACGTCTGCATATTGTTTTAATAGCAGGTGCTGCCACAAATGTTACTAAAATCCGAAGCTCTTAGCTGAAATGTAACTTCCACAATCATTTTACTAGGAAAGAGCAGAGATCTGTGTCTGTTCGCGAGTGCGCCTCTGGTTAAAACTGAGCGTGGTGAAGAACAGATGTCTTCTATCAGTTTGGGTGTAAGTACCGTCACACAGCTGAGGAAAGATCAAAAGGGGATGTGTGCATCAACTCCCAGCAGATGGAATACATCTGTTTTGGACAGTTGCCATTAAGCGATTCTCAGTGCAGCCAGGCTTTATGCTTTAAAGTGATCTTGGGGTATTTCATGTAAGCACAGAATCCTGGGCTGGGCTCAGAAATTAGTGACAACGGCCCAGCTCCACAAAGGGATATAGGTGTTGCAACTCTCAGCATCACAGCAGAATCACAGGAACAGCACTGGGATTCACGAAGTCTGAGTTAGGCAGCTGGGCTCCCTATACAGTGAATGGGGGGAGAGAGGCACCTTAGAAGGCAATCCACAAAAGCCTGCAGGCTGGGTGGGAGGCAGCTGAGCTATATGCCAATCAGAGGGGCATAGGCGATGCATATAAGAGGCTTGGGGAGGCTCCCCAAAAGCGGTTGGCAATGCAGAAGAGCAAATGCTATGGATGCCCCGCGAGCCACTTCCCTTTGGAGGCACGCCAGCCCACTACTTTAGGAGTGCTGGAAGCGAAGCTCCTTAAAAGTGTGGGCAGGGGACACCAGCCACAATCTGCCCTGCCCCTGCTCTGCCTCTTTCCTCTAGGTGCAGCCTGCCCGCCACTCGCTCCTCTCTGCCACTCCTCTGCTTCCTCTCAGGGGAAGAGGCGGAGTGGGGGCAGGGCCTTGGGGGGAGGAACCATGGTCTATGCACTGGTGGCCCCCCACTTCTAGGGAGCTTCTGGCGCTCGCATATAAGCCTCCCCCAATGGAAGACATATGTGCCACCTATGCAGAGGGGGAGGGGGATGTAGCTCCTCCCCTGTCTCAGAGATAGGTGCCCATCTCTGCTAGCGATCCACGAGTGAGAACCAGCTGCCTGGAGTGAGGCAACGTAGGCATCTAAGTTGTTTCTTGGGGGAATGAATTAGGCACCTGTCTTTCACCACAGAAAATGTCTGGAGGAGGAGGTGGTGATACCCACCTTTTAACCCAGTGGTTAGAGCATTCAGGCAGGAGACCCCTGTTCAAATCCTCCCTCCCCCCCCACCCACCCAGGTAGAGAAGGAAATTGAACCTGCATCTGCCACGCTCCCAGCTGTGTGCTCTAACCACTGGGCTAAAAGCTATAAGGTGGGCTCCTCCAGCAGTGACCAAATTTTGAATGGGTCCTGATCCTACCAGCTTGGGTCCTGCACACGACGTAGGGGCCGAATGCTTGTCTTCCCAGGCTGTGTGAATTGATCCGGGGCTTAGGCAAGCAATAGGCATCTGGATACCTAGAGAGAGGCAGTAGGATGTCCACAGGCAAAAACATAGGTGCCTAGGGACCTTTTACCCTCATAATTTAGTCGCTAAGTGAGTTTAGGCGCCTACAGGGTTTGGCAGGAGTTTTGTGGGATGACAATGGAGCCTAAAACTGGGACTTAGAGACCTAAACCCCAGATTTTGGCACCTAAATACCTTTGTGGATCAGGGCCAAAGTGCCATCAGTGCGACGTTGCTTCTCATCCTCGCTCTTTCCCTCCATCAGTTTTCCATTGCATTTGGAGACACTGGTGGAAGCTCCGTCAGCCGTGCGAACACGAATCATCTCAAGGAGAAGAGGAGGAGAGAGAGGGCCAAAGAAAGGTTGGGAACCTCAGGAATGTCCACACGTCCACCTCTTAGAGCTCAATGACAAACAGCCTTTCGATTGGTGATGTAAAGGGCTTGTCTGGGCCGTTTTAAAGCTCACAGTACAGCAAGTAGTAAAGGTTAGAAAAATAATAAAGCCACAAATAGAGCTATCAAAACCCAGGACCAGTCCTGGCATCTTACACCCAAATATGGGAAGAGAGAAATATTTTTGGCTTTCAAAAGGCAATATATTTGTGAAGTATGATTTCTTTATGCTAGTATAGCATGTGTGCATGCATATGTATGTGTATAGGGAGAGAGAGAGAGGCGGTGAATTTACTGAGAGGAGCTTATTATCCTGTAGATTTTCACTTCTCTATCTCCTGTGCTCACACACTTTTGGCATCTTCCGTGGCAATTTTTTAAACTTTGCACTCCAAGCAGACAGATGCTCCAAGCCATAAAGTTCAGAACTTTCCCAAAGCTTGCAGTTGTTTGCATCTGGAGCCCAGGGTTTCATTTTTTCCATGTCCAGTTCCAAGGCTCCTTTTTAAAAGACCTAAATTAATTTCCCTGATCATAAATCTGGGCCTGAAGACTTGTCACTTGCATTCAGTCAGTGATCAAGTAAGTTAGCCTTCAAAACATGGACAGTATGTGTGGGTGCGGGTGTCCGAATATCAAGGGAGCAAGCTAAGACAGACTGTATACAGTGGGGTCACTTATACTGAAGCTGCTTTATAGGGCCTGAGCTTGAGCCATGGTGAGGGTTCTCAGGATCTTGCCCATAATTAAGTTCTAGACTGCTTCAGTGCTCTTGGTAGACTTTCACTCCTCTTGCAGTAAATGGACTTAACTCTATTTTTAGTGAAGTTTTACATCACCATGCTGTGACCGATACAGCAACTTCCTGCAATATCTTTGCAACTACTCTATTAAGTAGTTATGTATCATTGTGGCCCAGGAATTGTATGTAATGCCATGGGGGAGGGTGACCACATCTCCTTCAGGAGCTAAGAACAGGTTAGGGCAATTAAGCAAATTCACTTAAGCTGTAACATCTCCAGAGAAATACTGCCACCTGAAGAGGTTCACATTTACTGGTTCAGACTGGGGTCTCCAGAGAAGAACAGACAGACAAAGGACTTTTGGCTAAATAACTTGAGTTTAAGCTGACGCAGGGCCTGCTTTCTGATCCAGAAAACAGACAGGACCTTCGGTCCAAGGAGGGCCTCAATCTGTCATAGGAAAGACTGGAAGGACTGTGGCCTACTGAGGCCCCATCAGACTGAGGGGTGACCTCTGGGAAGCTTTTAACAAGTGTATGGGAACTTTTTTTCCCTCTTTTTTTCCCTTTTTTTCCCTTTTTTTCCCACATGTTAACAATAAATGTGCTTGCTTATAAAGAGCTGTGCGATGCCATAACCTTCGAAGGGAAAGAAAAGTGCAGACTTTGGCCTTTAAGGCAGTCTGGCTTGCTGGGGATAGGCAGGGAACTGTGAAGCCTGGTAAAACCCCGGTCAGGAGGGAGAGAAACATTGATCTTTGCCCAGGAGAGGTGATGGCTGAGGAGCAAGATGCCTAAGTGGATGCCCTCAAGGGACCCTGGAGGGGGAGTACAGATGTGCCCTGAACTGTGACACATGCTAATCCCGTTGGCAGTGCAGCAGGTGTTGCCCACCAGGCAGGTGTTCAGTTCTGCATTCTAAGGCGGAATGTTGTCTCTTCTCCACTCAGCTGGAGGAAGGGGAGAAGGAAGCAGCCACTGCCCTCGGAGGGGGAAGCACCAGGAGGAAGTGTTGGTTCCCATTGTTTGCTGCAGCAACTCCCAGTGTGGAAGGAAGAGGAGTTGGCCTTGATAGGGCTGCACCCTCTTCACAGTGAAGACATAGCCTTCCAGAAGCCCCCAGCCAAAGCTACCAGTGCCTCTTGTGACCAGAGGCCCTGCCACCATTCCTGGGGGTGGGTGAGGAGAGAGGAGATAGGTCTTTTGCCGGCAGGCCTTTCTATTGGAGTAAAACTTCTCTTATGGTGAGGGAAGGAAATCCCAGTTTGCTATAAAAGGGTTCACTGAATGTATCCCTGTCTTTGTGCATGTGAAATATATAGTATGTGTATATAGCCTGATAACATGAGAGAATCCTGCAAACCATGCCATGTAATAGGGTTTTTTCAATCTTTAATGTCTCTGATCCTCACACTGATCTGGGGAGCGGCTCTGAAAGGAAACGCTAGCAGCTGGAGAAGAAAGCATTCCATTAAGATCAATTGACTTTATTCTCTGAGCAAAGCTATATAGATTTATTTTATAGTCATGTGAACAGCAGAGAGTTTGGCAGTAATGGTAGGCTCAGAAGTATGCACTGTCTTCCTGTTTGGCCCTCCTGCTATCAATTCTGAAAGACACCCAGCTCATGTTGTTTATAAACAAAGCAGTGACTTGAAATATTTCTCCAATGGGCTTTAGAAGAACATGTTACATCTGAGGCCTTTGCATGACAGTGCAAGGAATAAGTAACCTCAACTAAATGGGTTATCATCAAGCACAGCAGTCTTAAAGAACCAATGATACATTTCAGCAAACTCTAAGAAAAACAATTTTATCAAAGCCTCATTAAACTGTCATGGTCCAGGCCTGCCATTATTTTTCCATCATTGCTTCTTTAAAACAAATATGTCTACTGAAATATAATCCTCTTCCTGGAAAACAAATACCGAGACCAGATTTTCAGCTGATGTCAATCATTATAGCTCCTTTGAAGCCAGGGGAGCAAACAAAGCTACACTGATTGACACCAACTGAAACTCTGGCCCTGAGTGGAGAGGACATTAAACAAAAGCAACAGATACGAGAGCATTTCAGTTATGCAATCAGATGACAAGGGTCAGCTAGGGCAACACAGTCCATTGCTAAAATAGATCACATGATCCTTAAAGAGGCTAAATCTGATTTTCTTGGGATTCAATTATCTTTTATACCGCTACTATTCCGAAAGACCCTAGCTAATGGCCATCTTATCAAACTATATTTTAATGAATGAGTTAGTAAATAATCAGTACTTTCTCCAAAATAAAGCTTCCCGGTGGGATTTTTCAGAAGCACCTGGATTAACCACTCCCATTGAAATCAATTTACTTTAGGTCAACTCTGAGTTCTGAAAATCCCACTCCTCTTCTTTATAGATCAGTCTACTTCTTTCTAATTCGCATGAGGATGTCCTATTATCAGAGGGCTCAACCCTGCCAATGTCTCAGTAGTACTTTACTCTGCAAGTAGTCTCTATTGTAAGTGTCAAAGTCAGGCAAGAAGAACTGGCCCTACTGTTTGGAACAACATGTTCATCAGCATGAAACTGATTCTGATCTCGATTATACTGGATTCTGATTTCACTGAATGAAAGCTCAGACTGTCTCTCCTGACTCCAGCTCCCAGAGTAAGGGGAGCAGGATTGGGCCATGAATCGGCAGGAGGAAAATATTTGATTAGTTCAGGGATAGCTTGATAAAATCAGCAATAATGGAAAGGGAATTGCAGGAAAAGTATCTACAGCAACAATTTAATGAGGCTTACGTAACCTACTCTATGATATGCAAAGTTGGAGTGTTGCACTGGTTCTTTATTAAATCACATAAGCCATCCTAATAAGTTTCTGATGTAAAAAAATATATCTATAAATCATGCCTTAGTAAGGAACAATGCAGCTGCTACGGAGTTGGAAGTAGCTTTTAGCCAATTAAAATGCAGCATAGATCTAACATGCTCTAATGCATTACCAGGCCATGATGACTTTATTTGCAAACAGTTTATCTATTTGTGTATATATATATATATATATATATATATATATATATATAATGTATTTATGTGCAAATAGATAAACTATTTATATATATTCCTGATGCCAAACAGAATAACCTGGCCTACATGTCAGCAGTAGGAGCCCTGCTGTTACACAATCATGAACTGACACACATACGGCAATTTATCTTTGCATTTCTTGTCAAACCACTTGCCAATGGCAACCCCTGACAAGGCTGCACAGTTCTCCAGTTTGCCACCATCCGGCTGGGTGGTGATCTCAGTCTCCCAGTTCCGGTAGCGGATGCTGCTGCCTGTCATGTCCACCCATTTGCCCTCAGCTGCCAGGTCATTGACGCCAAGCCAGACATCTGCTTCTGACCCAATACTCTTCCTCATGTACTCGTAGAGCGCGTCGTTTTCATCCCCGTTCTGGGGGGTGCTGAGGGTGCCGCCCTGGGAGATGCAGTCTTCACTGGCCTCGTGATATGTCTTGGTGTCAGAAAACGCAAGGAAGCACTTGAGGTGAATTTTAGTGCCCTTCAAACACACTAAGAAATGACAAAAAGACCAGATACAAACAGAAAAAGAACATGTTGTAAAGACAGTGCCTGAGAGGGGGTCATCAGTAGCAAATGTTACAGTCGAATTCAAAATTTTATTCTCACACCCTGTATAGGAATTGGGTAGTAGTGTATCACTGACAGCTCCTGGTCATCGTCAGGGGAGTCCAACCTGGGACCTCTGGAGCTAAATGCATGAGCCTCGCTGCTTGAGCTTAAAGCCACATTGCTCTTAGTTAAGGCTGTAGCAGACTCATTAATCTCTAGATGACCTAGGTACCACTAGAGGGCACCACGCCCAGTAGGCATGGGTTACAGTAGCCCTTTAAATAGTTTGGAAGCCCTATAATGGGCCACCCTGTCTTCTATACCCTGTCAGAGCAGCAGTGTATGTATGTCGCGAGGCCTTGTATGGTTGTATATAGTTAGTAAACATGGTTATGTGGAACCCCAGCTGTGTCCATGTGCCTTCCAAATTTGAATAGAAAGCAAGAACTCAAATCCCCATTTCCCCTTGTTTTAAGTTGCTCCTAAACTTTCCCAAATAAATTCCTTGTGGGCTAAACTTTTTCATCCTTGGTCTCGGCACAACATTGCAGAGTTCTGGAAAACTTGTGCATATTTGCTGCAGCTGTTTGAGTTATGCAAGCATGAAAGAGACTCCCTTTTTCACAGGTTTTGATCAGAAATGTTGCACTTGAATAACTTAAGCTCTTCAGAAAAATTTCCTCCTTGCCCCATTGCTAAGAATTTTTAAACTTTCTACTCTCTCACAATGATATAGTTGTTAGTAGAAATTACACATTTTTAAAGTTTTAAGCACTGAAAGCCTCTGGGCACCTTATTTAAAAACAAACAAACAAACCCTAATAGGAGCCATGTATGAATATTCAAACTGTTTTTTAAAGTCCCATTGAACCTGGACTTGTGTCTGAAATCTAAATTTAATCCATATTCTTTTTCAAAGAAGATCATTAGATATGGGACAAAATTCTCCTCTTTAAGCCACACTGTGGGTCTCAGGTCTATTGCATGATCTGCCAACACACCTTCTACTGATGTCAGTGGAAGTTCTTCACATGATACTAGTGTGGAATACATAGATTGTAAACACTTTGGAACAGGGACCATCTTTTGCTATGTGTCCTAGCACACCAGGACTCTGAGCCCTGATTTGGGTCCCTGATTTGAGGCAATAATGTATTACAAACAATAATAATAGAATATGCTAACGTGATCTGATTGCAATGCGGTTCAGACAGAAGGGTGATGGCTGGCTGCACAGCAAAGAGAAAACTGTGGGAAATATTAAAGTACAGCATCCCCTATACTCTATCCTTCTAACTGATGAAGAAAAAATGACCGTCTGAGTTAGCTTTCTGTGTTATTGTAGCCGTGTTGGTCCCTGGATATTAGAGGGACAAGGTGGGGGAGGTAATATCTTTTATTGGGCCAACTTCTGTTGGTGAGAGAGACCAGCTTTTGAGCTACACAGATCTCAAGAATTGCTCTGTGATGTTCAAAAGCTTGTCTTTCTCGCCAACAGAAGCTGATCCAATAAATGATACTACCTCACTGATCTTGTCCGTCTGATTTAGTGCCACTGTAAAACTCTCAATATTTCTAATGAGAAGTTCCAGGATATAAAGAATTATTGAGCCACGTACTGTACAGTTAATGCCATTAAAAGTCTGAGCAGCTCCATCTGTCTGAAAATGTTGTGAAAATACCACACATAGCATTAATCGAATTATGAATGCATCATTAATGATGGAATTCTAACCCAAATACACCAGGACCTCTCTTCACACCCTTGTCAACATGTACAGAGAGATTGTAACCACATTTTAATTAGCACCGATCTCAAAGCAATAACTGTGTATTCAACAATGAGCTCTTTACCTGTCTGAAGAGCTTGCTTTTCTTTCAGTAAAGCCACCTCCTGGGAGATGTTGTCAATCAGAGCTTTAAGATCTTCAATCATTTTGAGGCTCACACCATCTGTGGAACAAATCAAGAGATGAACGCAAACATTTCATGTACATCTAATGAATGCAATTGAGGTTATTAGTGTCACCAGAGCTCCTTCTCTCTCCTCCTTCAAAAACTCCTGAAAAGACACTGGTTCCGCAGTGCATTCTTTTGCAGGCTGACCACCTGCCACTGCATTTATATTATAATGGCCTATACACTACCACCTTGTGCCTGTACATCATTCCCCCACTGGGGTATGGACTGGGTTACTACTTTGGGACAGTAAAGGGGCAGTTTACTGTCTTAAAACTCTTAAAATCCAACTAGTTTATTTTATCTAGTGATCTCTATCTATATACTTCCTGAGCCCCTCCAAACTACTGAACCCTTTGGACCCGATCCAAAGCCCACTGAAGTCAATAAGAGTCCTTCCATTGATTTCAATGAACTTTGGATCAATTTCCTGGATCAATAATACAAACAGAAGGGAATTGTCGACGAAGTCCTTAACAGAGTTCTTCTGGCTCTCTCCGTACTCTTTAAAGAATTATTTGATTTGTATGTAATCCTTGAGACACCAAAGGATTAATATGTTCCCAGAAGCTTCTGAGCAAGTGTTCTCTGCCCACTGACAGCATGTTCTAATGGTGTAATGCTTCTCAAGTATGTCTTTTTTAGCAGAGCATATCAGGCTTAGGGGGTTGGACTAGATGATCTCCTGAGGTCCCTTCCAACCTTGATATTCTATGATTCTATGATTCAATATCCTTGATGGAGTTGCTTAGAACCACCTGGAATGGGTTCCTCCTGCTTAGAGAACACTGGTTCCTGCTTGTGTGGTTGAGTTGAATCTATTACTAAAACTCATGTATTCTGTTATGTGTTTCATTCTTCAGACTCTTAAAAACTGTTTACTCCATACACTGCAACTCTAGTAGGGGAATCGTAAGGTCATACCGAAGTTTGAGTGAGACACCATGGTTACATATGTAGTTAAAGAAACTGAAGAATCCACAAAGTTTTCCAATGAGTGAGAATGAACAAAACTTTCAGGTAGTGAATTCCACACAGCAAAGATTCTTAGGGGAAGAATGGATTTTGGAAACAGTCATTGTGTTCAGTAGGGTCCCTGTAATAGTTTTATCTATGCTTAAGAATCCGTTTTTCTCCCACTGTTGATGGAGTACTGGATGCTCACCAGAGGCCATCAGCACTGTTCTCTGCTTGCATTGCTGGAGAAGAATATGAAGCACTCAGTCCCACTCCACCCCATCTCTGGAGTCGAGTGCAATTTCCCTGCAGCACTCCTAGGAGCCCTGGGCAAGGTTAGATTCTCTCTCTCTTTCTCCTTCCCCACCCCTCTGCCAACTAGTTTATTTTATCTAGTGATCTCTATCTATATACTTCCTGAGCCCCTCCAAACTACTGAATCCTCCCCTTCCAAATCTTGTGCTCTTGCTTTTTTCCCATAGGGACAATGGCTTAGTTCATTTTCTTGAAGTGGGGTGTGAAGAACATTTTGAGAGAGAGGCAAGTCAGAGAGATGAGTTTTGCATTTAGGCGTGAAGAGACTGAGGCCCGTAATGGTTGTTGTCTCTTGCAAGCCTGGTCTGTAGCTTTGGTCCAGCTCCTGGGAGAGTTTCCCCTGTCACCCGTGATCATGCGCTGCCTCCAACCCCATTGGATGGCACTTCTGTTGCCAGGGCCGGCTCTAGGTTTTTTGCCACCCTAAGCAAAAGATTTGCCACCCCAAGCTCCGAGAGCGCAACTGCCCAAGAAAAAAGAAAAAAAAAAAAGGGTGGCTGGAATGCTGTCCCTGGAATTGTGCCGCCCCACGCACATGCTTGCTTTGCTGGTGCCTAGAGCCGGTCCTGTCCATTGCTCCAGTGGAGAGCAGTTCTTCCGATAGGTCCTGGTCATGCTGGGAGAGAGGCCTCACTGGTAGCGAGGGCCAGTCCCATTAAGGGCTTTGAATGTCATGACAGAGACCATGAACGGGACTTCGTATTCAGTAGGAAGCCTGTGTCATCGTGTCTTCACTGCTGTTTTTAGAATGTGAGCCTGATTAAAGCTAACTGGAGTATGCCTCCCCAAGCTGCAAATCTCACCTTCAGCTGCTGTGTGGACATACCCAGAGAAGGGCAATTTTCTAGTAGTGGTGGCTCTGCAGGAGCTGGCCTGCCAGAGAGGGGTGAGGGAGCAAGAAGCTATGGGGTCTCCACAGGGATGGCCTCTGTCTTCGGTGGCCCCCTAGCGATCCGTGAGTTTCTTGGATTTTAAGACCAGAAGGGACTGTGACGAACAGCTGGTCTGATCACTGTTCCGGATGGTTACTGGCCCTCACTGTTAAAAATGGGAAGTCTGTTTTTGGAGACAAGATCATTTGGTCCATCTATGCAGATTATATACTTCACTCTCACCAAAGAAGTGATCCAGTGGAGACTCCATGAGGTTTCCCTCCTGATTTTCTGTACCTTATGTGGGGTTTTCTGGGGGTGGGGGTGATCTGGCCTTTAGGAGTGATAAGATTATAAAACAATATTTAGTTCTTCTTTGGTACTCTCCTATCACTCTATTGAAGCATTTCCCATGTAATTAAATGTGCCATTACCACTAATGTCACTGATCTATGGCTTAGAGTAATTGCAACTTCTGTAACCAGCTACTAATTGGTACTCTGGTTACTCTCATTTAGAAATAATTGAGCTTTTATCCCTTTGATGTTGCAGCAAACAGGACAATAACGGGGTGGTATTCACTGTATCTATACAGCTGCTCCCAAGAAACTATTTCTATACCTATCCTGCCATAAATGTGGTGGTGTTTCTATGGGGGAACCTAATGTGGTGAAAGCAAATGTGACAATCTACGCATGCAGACCTTAGGCCAGGTCTATCCTGGAAATGCTGGCTCCGGTGAATTGATTAAGTAAGCAGAGTTACTACATGAGATCAGTTGGAAAGCAACATTGAAAGCCCTATAAAAGACGAGCCGTGAAGATTATAACATGTCATGAATAGGAAACAAAAGCATCAAGAGGAGTGTATTAAACTGCCTTAATCATTGCTCAATTAACTTTAATGGGTTCCATTAACACTGAAGCATTAGTTATTATTTTGGTACCTTTGAGGAAAACACATCGTGGGAAACTTCTCATTAATACAGCTGCTATTGTAAGGGAGCCTCCCTAGCAATGAAAGGGCTAGTAGCCTTAACCCAACATACTACGACGGAAAGAGGAAGGATGGTTTTATGGCTAAAGCACAAGAGTTCTGGCGTCTATTCCTGGCTCTGCCACAAACACTGTGTGTGGTTCTTGGGAAACTTACTTGTCTTAACCCTTCTGTACCTCACTTCCCCCATCTGCCAAGGGTGACAGCAATTCTCCCTGCAGTCATGAGCACTGAGCACCTCTGCAAATCTGGCACCAAGAAAATGAGGAACACTAAACTGGCAGCCAACTGTGAAAAGTTTGGTTTAAGTGACTTGCCCAGCATCACACAGGAACTCTGTGGCAGAGGCAGGGTTAGCATCCAATTCTCCAAGGCACCATTCAACTTCTTTAACTACGGGACCTTCACTTCTCTTCCCGCAATCTTCTGCCTCGTTCACTACGTGCCCTTCCAACTTCTGTAAAAAATAAGGCCCAGACCACAGCCACATTCATTACACAACCCTGATTCAGCCACAGTGCACCATCATCCTCTGTGCTGAATGAGGCAGAGGTCAATAATGTCATTCATAAATGGAAGGGGGAAACTCCGTCAAGGAAGAAAGACTGTGTAGCTAAGGTACTGCAGTGGGAAGCAGGAGGTATGGGTTAAATTCCCAATTCTGGTACTGATCTCCTAAGTGAACCTAAGAGAGCTTACTCTCTCTGTGCCTCAATTCCCCATTTGAAAATAGGGATAAGAACTATTCTCTATCTCACAGTGCTGTTGTGAGGATTAATTTGTGTCTCAAAGATAGACAGAGCCTATGGACATCATAGTAAAGCCTATACATTGTTTAAAAAGCGGTCACAGTAACTGCAAACGTTGGTAGAACTTTCCCCATTCCCCTGCCCAAATATCTGTGATAAGCCGTTTCTATGGAACCTGTGTATAATTGAACAGTGAAGACAACCTGTAATACACTCATCTGAACTGAACCCCATGAAGAAATCCATTAAGATTCAGATGGAGACTATTCCTGTTCAGTTGTTTGTCTTTAAATAATCTATCCTGATTTATAGCATAAATAGCATATAACATAACTTATACCGAAGTAAGTGGTAGTGTAGACAATGGCTAAGGGTATGTCTCCACTGCAAATGGGGGTATGGTTAAAGCTCAGGTAGGCATAGCCACGCAACCTTTAATCTAGCTACCACAGCTTGAAGCTGTTTCCATCCTATACAAGGTTTAGAGTTTGGTACAATGGCTCTCGGCATCCCCACTATACAAATTGTTCCAGTGTCCCTGAGTGTAGAGTTGATTGGTCATGAATTTTCACTTCCCTCCCTCATTGTTTCAGTTTTGTAACTTTTTTTCCTCCCCTTTCTTTGCTGAAATCTGAAAAATGCTGGCCACTCTTATTAGTGGGGAAAACTTTCCAGAGAGGCCTGGACCTCCAGCTTGCCACTGCTGAAGAGTCGAGCTGGTTGGTAAATGGGTTGGTATTTTTCTGTGGAGAATTTCAACTTTTCATTGAAAATCAAAAAACTCTTGGGCTGAAAAGTGCCAGAGGCTGAAACAATGTTGTGGTTTTGGCCAAAAACTTTTGGAGGGTGGATGAAAATTTTGGAGGCAAGCAGACATTTTCAGTGATCATTTTCATTCCATTGAGGAAAAGCGTGAATTAAACTTTTTAACCAATCCTACTGAAGAGCCCAGTTGTCAGCAAACAATTACAAAGAGAAAAATTCCATTGTTATAATGAGTGAAGCAAAATTCCTCTGAGAAACACAAATGCACCGGCTGGTACAAGTTGTGTGTGTGGGGGTGTTGCACACCCCAACTTGTACCAGCAGGTGCACACACACACACTGCACCAGAGGAGGTGAGTGAGTGTTTTGGACCCTTACTGCAATATTTTTTTAAAAATAAACATGATTAGGGACTTCACTGAAAGACCAAGCACAAGGAAAAGCTTATTCAAATACAAACTTCTGAGGAAAAATAACCAAACTGGGAAGAGACTACAGAAAATGACTGCCCAAGTAAATGGTTTGTTTAAACATCTTCTTTCAGGTTTGCTCCAAGATGAAAATTCCATGTTTAAAAGGAATTCAAATATCTGGAGGAACAGTCTGATACAGCTGTGAAACTGTCTTCCCCAAAGTATTGCCCCACAAATTCTAAGGGCTGGAGTGAGCTCACAGTGGTCATCAGTTACTCACCCAAGTCGTCCCTCAATTATTTGCACTGTGCAGAAACAGGGACGGGTGAGTAAACCCCAGTGCATTTATTTTTCTATACACTATCTGCTAATGACAGGTTTCAGAGTAAAAACCGTGTTAGTCTGTATTCGCAAAAAGAAAAGGAGTACTTGTGGCACCTTAGAGACTAACCAATTTATTTGAACATAAGCTTTCGTGAGCTACAGCTCACTTCATACTTCACAGTATGCATCCGATGAAGTGAGCTGTAGCTCACGAAAGCTTATGCTCAAATAAATTGGTTAGTCTCTAAGGTGCCACAAGTACTCCTTTTCTATCTGCTAATGATTACTCTTCACTAGATGTATCTGGAGTACAACTTAATATACACTTGAGGCAAATGTTTTAAAATAGGATTTGAAGACCATTGCTGATATTTGTCAATAAAGTTATATAATCATAGAAATAATGTACTTCCTCTATTTCTTGGAGTAAATATTCTGTCTACTCTGCCTCAGAATTTACATCAACTCTTTCCCTTCTGTCATTTTATTTTCCTCTTAAAATGGGATGGGGGAAATTAAGGATCATTAAAATGAGATTTTTATACAGGAAAAAATGGTAGAAACATAGAGATAATATATATAGTATGTTGCTATCTGAATTTTAGAACAAATGGTTCATTATGAGGACATCCTATACAACTCAATAGAAGAAAATAACTTTGGGAGGATTTTTTTTTTAAACAAGCAATAGAATTTAAATTTCCTTGTTATAGAATTCTACAGGATGGTCCAAAAATCCTGTAGGAAAAAAAGCTGATGGTCTGTTAAAGTCTATATGTTTTTAGAATAATTTTGATAAAATGCTGTTAAATACAGGCCCACCTAATGAACCTTCCCAGCTCCCTACCTTTCTTGGAGCTCGCTGTCCTTTGCTTGGATGTGGAGGCTTGCTGGACTGTAACCTGCACAAGGCAAAAGAGGCACAGAAGCAAGCAGGCGCCTCGAAACTTCATTCTGCTGCTGCTCCTGACCGAGTGGATTTGGAGTGGCGTTGATCTGCCCTGAGCCAGCCTTCTTAACACAGGCTTTAATCAAAAATGTCTGTCCAAGAAATCCTTCCAGACTCGCTCACAGCGTTCCAGGGACGAGAGGGAGAGAGAATTCCACTGAGGGCTGGGACAAATGCAGTATCCTGGGCTTAGAGAAAGTTCAAAGAATTCCAGTGGACAAAGGAAAAAAGGGATGATTCTTTTATTTCTTAGGATGTTTGTTTTAAGCATGTCAGAATGTGAGGCAAATTAACCTGGTTAGTGATTTAAAAATATAGATGTTTATTGTGCCCTGAATTATTTCCTGTGGATTTCAGTAAAGCTGTAAGGGATTGATCCTGTGTTCCTGATACATCCCAAACTCCCATTGGAATCACTGGGAGTTCGGGATGCCAAATGAGTGTAAAATTGGCTCCTAAGACTATAGCTGGGACCCCAGATTGTCCCCTCCCATGAGGATCCCCCACAGGGTTCCTTTCAGCAGGAAAACATCAGGAGCGTCTCATCATGGTATTTTCTCCAAATTGTTTGGCATGGGCTGCCCCTTGCCTGCAATAAAGTGAGGGCTTTGGACCCCGGACATTGCAGATTCCCTGATACTAGAGGCCAGGGCCATTCACGTGGAAACCCCCTGCCTCCATGTTGTCCATCTGCCCCCTTTCAGCTCTCTCCAACTCTCCACCATGGCTTTCCCTGCAGGCTGAAACCCTTGGTTGCCATGAGAAATGGGAGTTAGAGGAGAATAGTGGAGAACAAGTATTGTTCCATCTCCTCAGTCCTGGGAACCATCTCAGAAGTTAATATAGTTGGACCAGCTTCTGAGGGATGGGATTCCCCAGGGGGTGGAGGGGAGGAACAATGTGTTTCCATCATCCTTTCCTCTCCTGATCCCACCCCTTACACATGCTGGATCACTATGTCCTGGAAGAATGGGAGATAATACCATGAAGGGGGCTGGTCCCTTTTCCCCTTCGTTTGGGCCAGAGGAGCCTGCAGCTGCACAAGGTCTGATCTGGCTGTAGGGCATTTAGTATAATTTTCAACATAGTTTTGCATTGGTAAATGATAAAATCATAGAAATGTAGCTCTGTAATGGACCTCAATAGGTCATACGTTCCAGTCCCCTGCAGGGAAGCGGGACTAAGTATTATTCTAGACCATCCCTGACAGGTGTTTTTCTAACTGTTCTTAAAAACCTCCAGTGACACAGATTTCACAACCTCCCTAGGTAATTTGTTCCAGAGCTTAAGTACCCTGACAGGTAGAAAACTTTTCCTAATGTTTAACCTAAATCTCCCTTGCTGCAATTTAAGCCCATTGCTTCTTCTCCTATCCCCAATGGATAAGGAGAACAATTATCACCCTCCTCTTTATAACATCCTTTTATATCCCCCCCTCAGTCTTCTCTTTCCCAGACTAAACAACCCCAATTTTATTCAATCTGTCCTCACAGGTCATGTTTTCTAGACCTTTAATCATACCTGTTGCTTTTCTCTGGACTTTCTCCAATTTGTCCATGTCTTTCCCAAAGGGGCCTTATCAGTGCTGATTAGAGCGGAAGAATTACTTCCTGTGTCTTGCTTACACTTGTTAAGACATCCCAGACTGATGTTCACTTTGTTTTGCAAACATGCGTTACGTTGTTGACTCATATTTAGTTTGTGATCCATGAAAAACCCCAGATCCTTTTCTGCAGTGCTACATCCTAGGCAGTCATTTCCCATTTTGTATTTGTGCAATTGATTGTTCCTTCCTAAGTGGAGTACTTTAAATTTGTCCTTATTGGATTTCATCCTATTTATTTCAGACAATCTTCCCAGTTTGTCTAGATCATTTTTAATTCTAATCCTGTCCTCAAAGCATTTGCAACCCCTCCCAGCTTGGTGTCCTCTGAAAACTTTATAAGTGTCCTCTCTCTGCTATTATCCATAATTATTTATGAAAATATTGAATAGACCCAAACCCAGGACAGATCTCTATGGGGTCCCACTTGATATGCTAGGGGTGGGCAAACTACGGCCCACGGGCTGGATCCGGCCCCTCAGGGCTTTGGATCTGGCCCGCGGGATTGCCCCCCGTTGCCACAGGCCCTGCGCCGCTCTCAGAAGCGGCCAGGACCATGTCCCTGGGACCCCAGGACAGGGGGCAGAGGGCTCCGTGCATTGCCCTTGCCTCCAGGCACCGCCCCCCGCAGCTCCCATTGGCCGGGAATGGGGAACCGTGGCCAATGGGAGCTTCGGGGGAGGTACCTGGAGGCGTGGCAAGGGCAGCATGCGGAGCCCTGTGCCCCTCCTTCTCCCAGGGGCCACGCAGGGACGTGGTTCCGGCCGCTTCCCGGAGTGGCGTGGGGCCAGGGCAGGTAGGCAGGGAGCCTGTTCTGGCCCCAGTGCGTGCCGCTGCCACCCTGGAGCCGCTTTAGGTAAGCGGCGCTGGGCTGGAACCTAAACCCGTCCTGCACCTTGCCCCCCAACTCCCTGCCTGCACCTTACACCCCTCATGCACCTCAACTCTCTGCCCAGAGCCCCCAGCTGCACCCTGCACTCCCGTGCACCCCAACTCCCTGCCCTGAGCCCCCTGTTGGACACCGCACCCCTCCTGCACCCCTGCCCTGATCCCCCTCCTGCACTCTGCACCCCTCCTGCACCCCAACCCCCTTCCCTGAGCCCCCTCATATACTCCACACCCCTCCTCTGCCCCAATCCCTTTCCCTGAGCCTGTTCCTGCACACCGCACCCCCTCCCACACCCAGCACTCCCTCTCGCACACACAACCCCCTGCCCGGCCCTGCATACAATTTTCCCACCCAGATGTGGCCCTTGGCCCAAAAGTTTGCCCACCCTGGATATGCCCTTCTAACTTGATTGTAAATAATTGATAACTATTCTCTGAGTATGTTTTTTCCAACCAGTTGAGTACCACCTTGTACTAGGTTTGTTTAGACTATATTTCCCTATGGTTATGAGAAGCTCATGTGAGACAGTATCAAAAGCCTTACTAAAGTCAAGGTATATCACATCTACTGCTCCCCCCTATGGACAAGTCAAAGAAGGACATTATATCTCTTCAGCCAGTTTCTCAAGTATTCTAGGCCCTGGTCTACACTAGGACTTTAGGTCGAATTTAGCAGCATTAAATCGATGTAAACCTGCACCCGTCCACACAATGAAGCCCTTTATTTCGACTTAAAGGGCTCTTAAAATCGATTTCCTTACTCCACCCCTGACAAGTGGATTAGCGCTTAAATCGACGTTGCCGGCTCGAATTTGGGGTACTGTGGACACAATTCGATGGTATTGGCCTCCGGGAGCTATCCCAGAGTGCTCCATTATGACCGCTCTGGACAGCACTCTCAACTCAGATGCACTGGCCAGGTAGACAGGAAAAGAACCACGAACTTTTGAATCTCATTTCCTGTTTGGCCAGCGTGGCAAGCTGCAGGTGACCATGCAGAGCTCATCAGCACAGGTGACCATGATGGAGTCCCAGAATCGCAAAAGAGCTCCAGCATGGACCGAACGGGAGGTACGGGATCTGATCGCTGTTTGGGGAGAGGAATCCGTGCTATCAGAACTCCGTTCCAGTTTTCGAAATGCCAAAACCTTTGTGAAAATCTCCCAGGGCATGAAGGACAGAGGCCATAACAGGGACCCGAAGCAGTGCCGCGTGAAACTGAAGTAGCTGAGGCAAGCCTACCAGAAAACCAGAGAAGCGAATGGCCGCTCCAGGTCGGAGCCCCAAACATGCCGCTTCTATGATGAGCTGCATGCCATTTTACGGGGTTCAGCCACCACTACCCCAGCCGTGTTGTTTGACTCCTTCAATGGAGATGGAGGCAATACGGAAGCAGGTTTTGGGGACGAAGAAGATGATGATGAGGAGGAGGTTGTAGATAGCTCACAGCAAGCAAGCGGAGAAACCGGTTTTCCCGACAGCCAGGAACTGTTTCTCACCCTAGACCTGGAGCCAGTACCCCCCGAACCCACCCAAGGCTGCCTCCTGGACCCAGCAGGTGGAGAAGGGACCTCTGGTGAGTGTACCTTTTAAAATACTATACATGGTTTAAAAGCAAGCATGTGAAAGGATTACTTTGCCCTGGCATTTGCGGTTCTCCTAGATGTAGTCCTAAAGCCTTTGCAAAAGGTTTCTGGGGAGGGCAGCCTTATTGCGTCCTTCATGGTAGGACACTTTACCACTCCAGGCCAGTAACACGTACTCGGGAATCATTGTAGAACAAAGCATTGCAGTGTATGTTTGCTGGCATTCAAACAACATCCGTTCTTTATCTCTCTGTGTTATCCTCAGGAGAGTGAGATATAATTCATGGTCACCTGGTTGAAATAGAGTGCTTTTCTTCAGGGGACACTCAGAGGAGCCCATTCCTGCTGGGCTGTTTGCCTGTGGCTAAACAGAAATGTTCCTCGCTGTTAGCCACAGGGAGGGGGGAAGGTTGAGAGGGTAGTCACGCGGTGGGAGGAGGCAAAATGCGACCTTGTAACGAAAGCACATGTGCTATGTATGTAATGTTAACAGCAAGGTTTACCCTGAAAGAGTGTAGCCACTGTTTTATAAAATGTGTCTTTTTAAATACCGCTGTCCCTTTTTTTTTCTCCACCAGCTGCATGTGTTTCAATGATCACAGGATCTTCTCCTTCCCAGAGGCTAGTGAAGCTTAGAAAGAAAAAAAAACGCACTCGTGATGAAATGTTCTCCGAGCTCATGCTGTCCTCCCACACTGACAGAGCACAGACGAATGCGTGGAGGCAAATAATGTCAGAGTGCAGGAAAGCACAAAATGACCGGGAGGAGAGGTGGCGGGCTGAAGAGAGTAAGTGGCGGGCTGAAGACAGGGCTGAAGCTCAAATGTGGTGGCAGCGTGATGAGAGGAGGCAGGATTCAATGCTGAGGCTGCTGCAGGACCAAACCAGTATGCTCCAGTGTATGGTTGAGCTGCAGCAAAGGCAGCTGGAGCACAGACTGCCACTGCAGCCCCTGTGTAACCAACCACCCTCCTCCCCAAGTTCCATAGCCTCCACACCCAGACACCCAAGAACGCGGTGCGGGGGCCACCGGCCAACCAGCCACTCCGTCACAGAGGATTGCCCAAAAAAAAGAAGGCTGTCATTCAATAAATTTTAAAGTTGTAAACTTTTAAAGTGCTGTGCTTAAAGTGCTGTGTGGCATTTTCCTTCCCTCCTCCACCACCCCTCCTGGGCTACCTTGGTAGTCATCCCCCTATTTGTGTGATGAATGAATAAAGAATGCATGAATGAGAAGCAACAATGACTTTATTGCCTCTGCAAGCGGTGATTGAAGGGAGGAGGGGGCGGGTGGTTAGCTTACAGGGAAGTAGAGTGAACCAAGGGGCGGCTTGGTGCTCCAGTGCCAAGATAGGGATATGGGTTCCGTCTATGGCCCCACCACAGTTAGGGAATCCCATTGCAGCAAAGCCATCCACTATGACCTGCACATTTCCCAGGGTCGGGATATCAGCAGATCTTTGATTGCATGGGCTACTTGCATCACAGCAGCCCCCACAGTAGATTTGCCCACTCCAAATTGATTCCCAACTGACCGGTAGCTGTCTGGCGTTGCAAGCTTCCACAGGGCTATCGCCACTCGCTTCTCAACTGTGAGGGCTGCTCTCATCTTGGTATTCATGCGCCTCAGGGCAGGGGAAAGCAAGTCACAAAGTTCCATGAAAGTGCCCTTACGCATGCGAAAGTTTCGCAGCCACTGGGAATCGTCCCAGACCTGCAA